ATATTAATACATTTGTAATAATTTATACCTAAAAGATGTGAATCTATGCAACGATTTTTATTGCAATCTGCACGTATTCTCTCTAGAGATAATAGTGAGCTATCTTTAGGAGGAAAATTAGGAGGGATAGGTTTTGTTTGAATCTTTCTTGTTTTTAGTTCTGAGATGTTTGTTTTTTGATATTCTTCAAGATATAACAGAAATTCGCGATACGTAACATAATTCTGAAGCAAGAAGTACATTAACACAGATAATAAATTGTTTTATATTGTTATTTTAAATATATTGTTATTTTAAATATAATTCCTAAAAAACAACTGTTGAAGAATAGTATAAGTAATATACGTATTAAACGAAATATAATACTTGTCTAATTAATAAAACTTAAATTACTTTGTCTTCTCCTGCCCAGTTACGATTAGTTGGTTCGCTAAGTCCAAGTAAATCGATCCAATGATAGTAATCTTCAGTTTGATTACCATACCAATATTTTATAATAACAAATCTGTAAATTTCCATATTAATTATATAGTTTACTTGTATATTAATTTCACATTTTATATATGAATTGATAATTAAAACTTTTTAAATTGAAAATATAATTCATACGCGAGGCCATCATCCACCATTTTTTGTACTTCAGGATAAGACATCAATTCCATAAATTCAGGATTTTCAGGATTTCTTTTGACATCTACTAATTGCCACGGAGCTATAAGTCCAAATCTAACACATTTAAGTACCTCTAGCATATATCGCTTTCTTTCATTCCAATCATGCATTAACCATCTTACGGCAGACATTAAAACTTCCATTTCGCTACAAGACGAAAAAAGATGTTTGTATATTATTTATTATTATATAATTTATATTATTTATTATGTAACTATTTTTAATAAATCATCTCATTCTCATTAAGAAATAAAATTTAAAGGTTCAATATTTTAAAAACAATTGAATTGTATATATATATATGTCTCTTATAAAATTTTCTTATACATAAAATATATTTGGTGAAAAGTCGTCAAATATATAAAATATATTTGATGACGATTATACTATAGATTATATATAGATTATACTATAGATTATATTATAGATTATACCTATTAACGCAAATATAATTAGATTTCAGTAGTAAACATAATTCGTCCATTGACAATTCCAAAAAATCTTTTGTGCTAACAAGCATCAAGAAAAATTTCATAATTCTCGGCACCATCAATTCCATTACTGCAGTATTCCCGATTTTCTTTGCATCCAAATATAGTAAGAAAGCAGTATCCTCGGAGAAGAGCTCGTCATTGTCAATGAATGCCCAACATTGCTCTTCTAATTCTTTATAAAATACAATGTATATGTTTTTAATGAGAAATCCGTTTTATTATATTTTTTACATTATGCATGAATATTTAAGTTAAATTTCTTTTTACATTTAAAGAACAAAAATACATTCTATTTTATATTAAAAATTGAAAATACGAGATAAATTCGCACCTTTGATACCCAGATATTGTGCAGCCATGAAAATTTCTAATATATTATCTCTTCGTAAAAGCTGACAACTTTCGTTGATTGGACTTATCATCCAGTCATAAATAATAGAAAAAGCCTTGGAGGTCACACTACTCTACATTTGGTGCATATAACAAATTATATTTTTAGAATTTTAAGCTAATTTTATTACTTCTTATTTTAATATGAAGATATTTATATAAGAATGCTTTGATATAAAAGTTTTCCAAAATTTGAGCCAATTAAAAAAAATGTTTTTTATGTAATGTCTATCTATATTGAATGCAATTTAGATCTTACGCCAGATAAATCAATATTCTTGCAATTTTTCTCATCGAAAAATGTGCTGTAACTTTGCAGAACAAGGAGATGGCAGTGAAATTCATCGTGATCAATTCGAATAACACAATCAGCATTCCTTGGCGGAATAAATAAAGAAATATTTGTTTTAATACAATTTAAATTTTTTAACTGTTGCTAATAAAACATATATAATTTAAATTGATCTCTACTAAATGAAATTTATCAAATTAAAGTTATTTATTTAAAACATTCAACATTTGCAATGTGATAGAAAGAGAGCTTCATTTAAGAATTTAAAATTCTCTCCCTCTCTTTTTTCTTACTTATAATTCGTGATGCGTATAGCTAATTCTTGATACAAATCACTCTTTTCTGGAAGAATTATATTATTCCAATCAATTGGTTGTTCATTCGTAAATCCCAATCTGTTTTTCCAAGAAGGAAAATAGTTAGTGTTAAAATAAAAAAAAAACCCTAATTTTCAAAATTGTTATACCCACACACAGCATACTCACTCGCTGCAACTTTATGTTATTATAATATTGCTAAATTGATCTGTGCTGTATGGGTATAAATGTGTTCTAATTTAATAATTTTTGCAATTGTCAAATTTAAAAAACTAACGAGGCAAGTGGTATTTCGTTCATTGGAGGAAGTTGATGAGATGTTGATTGTACCGAATGGTTTTGTTCCATTTCTGATGAATAAAACTTTGTACTTGATTGCGTCCGTCTATAACTTCCTTCGATATGTGGTAATTTTTTCTGTGCCTGTTTTCCATCAAATAATATTTTAAATAAGAGCACATTTAGTTGCACATTTCGGCCGATTTTCAACTTGGTTCCTGCCCTTCACTTCACCAATCCGCGCGCAGCCTAAATGCTGATCGGGCATTTAGGGATTGGCATTTAGGCATAGGCTGCGCGCAGATTGGTGAAGTGAGGTAGGAAGGGCAGGAATCACAAGCTGAAATCGGCCGAAATGTGCAAATAAATCCCAGCTCTGTTTTAGACAATGTTAAAACAATAACTAGTAAACAATAAAGAGTTTGAATTTCACCTGTAATTGATCAATTGTTGATGGTGTGATACCAAGCGGGAGATCGATGTATCTTGTTTGATTCGGAGAGTCGAAAACGGATGTGCTAACGTTGTTACCCGATCGATTAAGCTCAGCCTTGACGTCGACTTTCGTGTGTCGCGGATCAGCAGCTAAAACGCTGAACTTCTTTGACTCGAATACAACCTAGAACGACTATGCTATGTCTGTTTCGAGACCGATATTTCTGAAGCGGTTTCATTATAATATTTGTTAAAACGAAATCTTTCTTACCTGATTCGGAATGATTTTGAGGTTACCACTGGGTGTAGCTTGGAAGGGAAACACACGACTACAATTATCCGTTTCATTCCCTTCATTTACGATGAATGTTGATTTAATGCTCGTTTTTTTGGGATAAATTTCTATCTGCTTCATCGGCAAGCCTAGATTTGAACAAGATGCTGATTGCTTTCTACCTTTTGTATTCTCTGCTTTCCTACAAAGTCGTGTTATATATTATTTCCACTATCTGATTCTATTATTTATCCACTCTCCAAATTATTTACTCTAAATGACAGTCCATAGGTTTCGAAGTGACGACTTCAACGAGTGAGCATTCCTTTTTCCGAGTTTTTTCTTGTGTAATACATTTACGTGATCTTTGATTTGTTGAGTGTTCGTTGATATGACAAGTAAGTGTTCTCGATTGCAGCCTAACAGGATCTTGGGAAAGCTTGGCTGTGCACTCCAAATCCTTATACTTGGAATTTATTTTTATCTGCCTTTTAAATGATGTCCACTTATTTTTTAGCGGAGATACAAATCGCTCTACTCGATTCGCGTGATAAATGTTTACATTCAAAAAAGGCTGTTGCCTTGATATATGATATCTTTTGGAAGTATTTTTTCGTCGACGTAATGAATATCTTGGAGACAGAGTTTCCGGAGTTTCTATGATTTTTGCCCTTTTTCAACATATTTTCGAGTAAAATTAATTTATATTATAATTAAATATTTCCGTCTGTTTTTTAAGTCAAAATTAAAAAAATCTTTTCCATTGTATTGATAGCATTCATTTACTTACTTATACTTAGGTGACGGAGAATTTATAATTTCCGATCTCGATATGTGCGAAGTTTTTACTATTTGATTGGATTTCGGAAATTGCACTAGAGCATTCGAAGAGGATGATGGAGGAATATTAAATCTACCATGATAAAGCACAATAACGTTGCTTTTACTGTTGCCTGTACATAGGATCATTACCAATCAATTTACCTCTGGATCGATTAAAAAATTTCATAATCTTTCCCCCCCCCCTCTCTCCCTCTCCTTTTTTTAAATTGATCTTTAAAGAAATCTAGCTTTAACAATTACCCAGTCAGAAATAATAATGGAATCGACATCGAATCGACTTCGATTGACATCGATTTAATGCTTCCGACATCGATTCGATATAGATCCATTATCATTTCTGACTGAATAACTCACGTTTCTTGCTGTTCTGTCGAATAGCCCTTACAATCCGTGGTGTACTGCTTTGCTTCCTGTCAACAAGATAGACAATAAATACAATATTAAAACTTGTGTCTCAAAACATTAAGCAAATATGAAAAATATATAATTGGTTTAACTTTTCAAATTACCAAATTTTTTCGTTAAATTTATTTTTCCGTTCAAATTTTTCACCATCACTCGATTGCTTTTCTTTGACAGTTATCTCTTGTTGTGGCTACGCAAAACATTCGTCCACCAAAAATAATAATGTATCTTTAAATTCACATCTTAATTAATATCAGAGAATAAAGAATTTCTAATTCAGAATTTCTTTATAAGACGCTAAACGTTGGATTTTTATAAATTTAAATGCATTAAAAATATATTACATCCTAGATGATTAAAATTAGATTTTAACTGACAATTACAAATGACAATGACCCTAATATCAACTTTTGATATAAAAAAGATTTATCCAAAATATTTTATAATTTAATTAATTACTTCGTATGCCTCATATCTTTACCTCATATCTTTTCAGACAGACATATGATGCAGAAGATTCAATATTTGAGATACTACGTTGTGGTATAGCAACGTGGTCGACTTCTCCAGTAACTAAAATTTATCTCCACAAAATAATATGAATGTAAAAAATGTATAGTAACAATTTGAATAATTTTGTCAAAATTGTTTCATATAAAACATTTTTATTAAATAAACATTTTATCTTTTTTTTTATCTTCTTTTATTAAATATTTAAAACTTGTATATTTAGATTTTATGAACACTTACATCACTTACATAATTTTGTTTCAGTGAATCGACTATTAATAACTGGATCTTGATGTAATGATGTTGATGATAATTTGAGATTTGATTGATCGTTTTTTTCGTTTTTTGATAGTTGACAAGCAAGTCTCAATTTTTGATAAGATTGTGTTACTCTTGGAAGATACAAAAACAGTAATTATAGTTTTATAAGATATAATTTTTTATAAGATATAAATGGATCATGATTAAAAGCAAATATTACTTTGGATTTGGTAGATCAAGATCCGATGAAAAATCGTCTTCAGTAGAAGTATCAAATTGCTTCTGCGTATTCAATTCAATTATTATATACATATGAGATA